AATTTCTCATAAACTAAATCAACTCTAAATATAATTATAGAAAATACGGAAATGAGCCCCAAACATCGGGGTGTCACTAAGTCATGTGCGTCTAAAACTATAAACTAAGATATATATACTGTCTAACTGTCCAAAAGAAGAAATGACAAAAGGAGTAACAAGGTCCTACGGACGCTAGCAGCTACCTTGCAATCTCCACAGATAGCCGGCCTGAACTCAACGATCGTCGCGCTCTAACTCACCTGGATCTGCACATAAAGTGCAGGGTGTAGTATGAGTACAACCGACTCAGTAGTAGCAGAAATAACTAAGGAACTGTGCAGTAGTGACGAGCTAAGTAAAATAATCCAATTATTTATTTTCACAATTTAAAAATAAACAGAAATAAACAGGTAAATTCCATAACTCAGTAAATGCACAAAGAAGTTTAACAGATAAATGCAGCAACAACATAAATAAATACAACCTCGCAGTAATATCACTCAATCACTCATCACTCGCACTCAGCACTCAACACTCAACACTCTGCGCTCACTGGGGGTGTGTACAAACTCCGGAGGGGCTCCCAAAGCCCAAGCACTAAGCACGGACAACTCGCATGCTATCATATCAATACCTGAATCCGCACGGTCAACTCACGTACTACGCGGATAACTCACGCGCTATGGTATCAATACTTGGACCCGCACAGTTAACTCACGTGCTACGCGGACAACTCACGCGCTATGGTATTAATATCCTCAGAACCAGGCCCTCGGCCTTACTCAATCATGTACCTTACTAGACTCACCATCATCAACAAATAAGGGAACGCAGCCCGCATCAAGTATCACAGCATATTAGCAAATAATAGAGACTGAGGTAAACATGTACAATAATTTCTATGACTGAGTACAAATAATGTGAGCATGAATAAAGTCTAAGCATGATCTCTAACATGAAGACATATAAGTTCAACAACAAGTAACTACGTAAACACAGATGATGGCCATGAGGCCTCACGAGACGGACCAAGTCTCAATCCCTCGAGGTATACACCCACACGCCCGTCACCTAGCGTGGATATCACCTCCAAACAGTCACACGATATCAAATTCTCCGGGTTATACCCTCAAAGCCAGAGTTAAAACTGTTACTTATCTTAACAGCGTAAAATCCTACTCCGGGATGCCCTCGTCTCTGGACTCGGTCTCCAAAAGCTCCAAATCTAACCATAATCAGATTAATACCATCAACATAGGCTAACGAATCGAATTTCACAATAAAAACTAAAAAATATGCCAAAAATCCGAAACTGACCAAAACCCGGCCCCCGGGCTCACTTCTCGAAATCAGTCAAAAATGGCAGAATAATAAATCTCGTCCTCTCCCGAGTCTAATCATATAAAATTCATCAAAATCGGACTCCGTTTGGTCCCTCAAATCCTCAATTAAACTCTCCAAAACTCAAACCCTTACTCCCTCAATTTCACTTTGAAATCATTAATCAAATTCTAAAAATGAAGATGGATTCATGAAATATAACCAAAACTGAGTAGAGAACACTTACCTCAATCCTTATGGTGAAAATCGCCCCCAAAATCGTCCAAATCCGAGCTCCCCAACTCAAAATATGACCGAATGAACAAACCTTCGTTTTATATATATTTCTGCCAGCTATTCTGCCTTGTTTCTCATGTCAAACGATCCTGAAACTCACTTTTCATGCTTCCAATGAATTCCTTGTAAAATTTTAGTCAAGTTAGGCTTTTGAATCACTCAAGTTGACCTTATAATGAAGGAGATATGTAGGTTTTAATATTTGTAAATCGTGCAGATTTTTAAATACACCGTCAGTGGCAATTGCATAATTAATCTGAAAAATCTGGCAACCTAATTCTTAGTAAAATGACCATAAAATCCTCATACAATGTTCAAATTTGACGATTCTTTTTTCTACGGGTCCGTAATTATGATACGGATCTAATGCTTCAATTAAAAAAGAAATCGGAGCTCATTTGTTCAATATGATATCATTTATGCTTGAAGAAATGGCGTCGAAACATAAGAAAAACGAGCGCAACACAACCCAAACATATCCGAAACTCACCCGAAGCCCTCGGAACCTCAACCAATAATTCCAACAAGTCATATATCACTACCCGAACTTAGTCGAACCTTCCGAAAAATCCAAAACAACACCAAAACACCAAATCAACCTCGGATTCAAGCCTAAGAACTTCTAAACTTTCAACTTTCGCTAATTCAAGCCTAATTCTACCACGGACCTCCAAATTATATTTCGGGCACACTCCTAAGTCTAAAATCACCCAACGAAGCTAATCGAATCATAAAAATTCACATCCGAATTCGTTTACTCATAAGTCAACTTTCGGTTGACTTTTCTAACTTAACTTTCTAACTAAGAGACTAAATGTTCATTTCACTCCAAAACTACTCCGGACCTAAACCTACCAACTCGATACAACTCAACACCGTTGAACAACACATAAAGAAGTAGAAATGGAGAAACAGGTCTATAACTCTCGGAATGACTGGCCGGGTCGTTACACATACTAAAATTTTCATCATCTTTCTCCTGCTGATTCAAGAGAAAACATTAAAATCCGATGATGATTTGGCTTTAGAAGGTAATATTTCTTCCGATTTTTTCATTTTTGTTATCTTTTAGTTTTTAACTCTATATTCTTTCTTTTCCACTTGATCGGTACTGTTTTGCCGTAAGCATAAAGTATAATGCCTTTTTTAAACCATAATATTGATGTGTTGTAATTGGCATTTGATATAAAAATTGTAAGAATAATTAGAAGTGATACACATTGCCCTTCTCTTGGCTTTTTGGTTACGGGTTACTCATGCTGAAGACTAAATAGACTCTGGAGCAAAGAGAATCAGGCGCTACCATGAATTAAATTTTTATGTTATTACAGGTACTACTATCAAATTTACTTTCTTACTCTATGTAATTATACTTTTGCTAGTTAAAAAATAAAACTAGACAAGCACACTGAATGTGTGAACTTTTCTTCCCATCAGTATATAAAATTTAAATTTATGATTTTATTAAATATTTATATTCTGTCAACATTATCCACCACGTTGGAATTTGTTAGAAATGAACATCTTCACATCGAAAGAAGGCCATGCATTTATGAAAGCCAAGATTAAAGGTCCTTGAAATGTGTTCGGAACAGTGTAAATTATACGCAAAATATGCAACTAATGCAAGGAGGTACAATAACGGAAAGCCTTGTAAATAAAAATTATTAATTAGGATATCTTTATCTTGAAAAAAAATTAATTTTCTATTTTTGAAAATAAGGTAGAATTTGTGGCTTCTCTCCGAGAAAAGAAAAACTACTTATAATGCTCGAGCATTTTAGCCAACACCTCAAATCTCTAAAAAAGGTAGTACACTATAGTTTTTTTGATGAAAAAGTATTTTTACCTTCCAAAAACGAAGAAGTTGATGCATCACCATTTGTTTCGATTTTGCACTAGGACGCGATGAGACCTTTCTGAGCATTGAATCGCTTACATACAATCCCAATATTACTATTAACACAAAACATGAAATGCTTCCTTTAGATTAGGCATGTAGAAGCAGCAACGTAAAAATAATGATGACTTTCTCATCCCAATACTAAACTCCCCTTTGACCATAGATTTTGGCAAATTTTCGAAAACATTATTTGTTCATGGAATATGATCAGTTTTTGAAAAAAAATTGAATTTTTTTTCAAGTTCCCAAAATCTAATTTAGGATAATTTTTGGGTGAATTTTTTTCTTCCGCTCACAAAAAACTTTAACTTTTTAAAAAAAAATAAAATGCATGTCCAAACACAATTTTAACTTCCAAAAATTATTATTTTACAAAACTTCAAAAACTTTTTTTTCAAATTTTAGCCAAATTTATGTTCAAACGCTAGCTAAGAGTAAGAGGAAAACAAAAGGAAGTAGTAAATTTCTCATTCAAAGATAATCAAGGCGGTTACACTGGGGAATTGGATTATCAATGGTTTAGAAATGATCTGCAGTTTATGTTCATAAAATAGTTAAACTGCGAATAAACATAAGTTAGTAACTTGAAAAAGTGTAAAACATATGTTAAAGGAAGTAGTAAATTATAAATGCGTGTAATGTCTACGGTAAACATAAGTTGGAAACCTGAAAAAGTGTAAAAACATATGTTAAAGCCGGTCAATTACGCTGAACGTGTAATACTTTTTCGTTTTCCCCTGTATAAAACTCATAACTTGTTTGGTCAAGCTTCTTTAAACCCTTTTTTTCCAAAAAAATATTTTTTTTAAAGTTGAAGTGTTTGACCAAACTTTTAAAATTAAAAAAATACTTTTGAATTGAACCATAATCAGTTTTGGAGAAGCAAAAAAAAATAACTTTTCCCCAAAAGCACTTTAGAGAAAAATATACTTACTTTTTAAAAGTTTAACCAAACATTAATTGTTACTCGAAAGTATTTTTCAAAGTAATTAGCAAAACACAAATTGCTTCTGATCAAAGGTATTTTTAAGAAGAGCACTTTCGGAAAACAAATGAGCTAATTTTTGAAGTTTGGCCAAACACGCTATTAATCATGATTTCATCATATTCCGTCAGCACTTATCCACCACCTTGGAATTGTTTGAAAAGAAGATATTCACATTGAAATGAGATCATACATTTATGATAGCAAACAATACAGGTCCTTGAAATGTGTTCCGTAAATTTTTGCCAAAATATGCAAACTAATGCAAGGAAATAAAGCACACTAGTGTTTTCTTTCACCAAGAAAAATCAGTTAATGAGCTACAGTGGATGATAATATGTAACATTTGCCTCCCATTATCTCAATGCTCAAACCGAGGAAGGACGAAAAGATGCCTCATTTCTCTGTGCAATGAGACTCCCACTTGCATGAGACATCAATGAGTTACAACAACCCTCGGGCAAATCTCTTCCTATATAAACCTCATTGCCCTTAAATCTTCAAACCACAGCAAAACAGAAAACAATTCCTATCTCTTCCTCTTCGCTTATAACTATCAGTGTAAAATGCCGACCACCATGGAAGATGTCACAGCAAAGACTGAGGCAATTGAAATTGACCCCAAGAGTGGTCTTGCTTTAAAACCAACAATGGAGAAGGAGAAGCTGGTGAGCGAAGGTGAACCAAAGACTACAGAAACAGCACAAGAGAAGCCAAATTGTACCAATGGAGCCAAAACTGAAGAGGAAAAGAACGAGAAGAGTGGTCAGGAGAAAGAACCCAATGGTGCAACTGTAAAGGAGGAGGAAGTTCCAGTTGAAGTTGAACCTAAAACTGGAATCTCTTTTGCTGTCAAACTTGAAGATGGAATGCAGTTGAAAGCTGTAGGTTTAAGGAAGAAGAGCATGCTTGGCATGGGCCTCAAAATTTATGGCTTTGGTAATACTCCATTTAAACTATCTTCTTTACACAAACATACGAATAAGGATCATACTGCGCTTCGAGAAAGATCTATTTAACAGCATAGTTGGCTTTTAACATATGTTCTTATTAGTTTAATGTTCTAACCTATATCAAGCTATATCAAACTGGCCTCCGGAAATTAACCACTCCTGATTATTTGATTGCAGGAATATATGCAGACAATGAGAAATTGAAGGACCTTATGCAGTCCAAGATTGGGAAAGCACCATCAAAACCAACAAAGGAAATGTACCAAATCGTGATTGATAGCGATTTTGGGATGATGGTGCGGTTGGTAATTGTTTTCTCTAACCTAACCATGAGCATGGTAAGAAAGAACTTTGACGAAGGCCTAGGAGCTGCCATAAAGAAACTCACTGGTGGGAAGAACGAAGAGCTCACAAAAAAGTACTACAACCATTTTAATTGCTAATCATTTCTAATCAGCCATAACTCGAATGCTTTTTTGAAATGGAAAACTTGAATGCTTAAACTCTAATATCCTGTTTTTATATTAGGATCATGGGTGAAGCATCCGATGACATAAAGCTGACTTCTGGTTCTGTAATTGAGATTTCAAGACTTCCGGGATATGTTCTCCAGACCAGAGGTAAAATCTACCACAAAAATCATTCTTGTCAATTTCATGCCATCAAGTTGAATTGCTAACTTCATTAAACCTCAACTTTAACTAAATGCAGTAAAGGGTGAAATTGTGAGCAAGGTGGAAAGTGAACTACTCTGCAGGGCCTTCATCTACATGTATTTAGGTGATGATCCCTTTGACAAAGAAGCCAAGGAGAAGTTCGGGGCATCCATGGTCTCTATGTTCTAAGTTATGTCTTTCCAGCAATTTCTAGGTTGTTAAAGAATAAAGCGGTCTATTTTAACTGATGAATAATTGCTCAATAAAGGAATGATTAAAACACGTTGATTTTTCATAAGTATTTCGTAAGTTCTAATACGCAAGCTTCAAAACTCCACCCCCCTCCCCAACAAAACCCATGTTATCTCTCTCAACTCATATGTTATGTAAGCGTGCATTGTGTATTTACCTTTAGATGTTATATTCTGTTATTCAAATTATTCATCCATCAAACTATTGCAACACCAAGAAGGAATTTCTAGGCTCAGGAAAGTTTATGCTATGATAAGTTGAAAACATACAAGATATCTCACAGTTTGAAAAAAGAAACAGAAAGTCAGTGAACCACCTGCAGCTAAAATTATGTGCTTATAGAATAGATCCAGTAATGTTAAATTTAACCCTCCAGAAACTGACAAACCAAACATGAATAGGTGTTTGTGGAATAGTAAAACAGCGCGCATAGTATACAAAAATAGACTCGTAGAAATAGCACCTCAATCCCACCATGAACGAGATCAGGCAAGGCCATAAAGAACTTTCCTAGGGTCCAATTGCCCACTGCAATAACTTGAAGATACAGTAGAGAGCTCTTGCCGCCCCTTCCACTCCTCAGAGGGCTTTAAGACAATCGGAGTTTCAACAGCAGCTGAATCCACGCACAGCATTTTTTTGTAATCTTCATCACCTAAATCAGGGAGAGACTTGGCTTTTTTGTCCCAAGGATTCCAAACAACTGCATATCACATCCATATTATACTTTAAAATATTTAATGGAGATTGGGAACAAAAGAGATCCAGACCAAAAGAAAAAAAAGGTAAAAATATACCAGCATCTGGCATGCCTTCTTTCTGAATGACATAGGTTCTCTTCTTCTCATGGTCTATTATGGCAATTTTCTTTGGTGTGCTCAGATATACCCTATCAATCTAACAAAAGGAAAAGGTCTAGGTCAACATAATAATAAGGAGAAATTAAGTACTCTTTTCAATGAATTATGAAAAATTCAAAAAACCAAGCATACTGAAGTGATGTAAGAGAAGTTCCTCTGGCACCTAGGGGTCCTGAGTTCAAATGAAGGTGTCTATCCTCAGTAAAATATGGAGAACAACCTAACATAGTAATGTTACCTCACTATCAAAGGTAATTGCATCTGCCTGTTCTGTATATCTTTCTCTCTGCTGTAAATTATCGAAGTAGTCAAGTGTCTCCAAGCCCTCCACACGCACTTCACTGCAAATCAAACTGCATCATGCAACCTATCTGAAAAGGATAGTGACGTATCTAGCAAATTTCAGCTATAAAGAGACAAAAATTTAAGAGAACGCCCACGATTGAATGAGCAAGATACTTTAAATGATAGGTCTGAATTAATTGCAAGAAACCCTAAAAGGGGACTATAATAGCTATTACGAATTTCAACTTGTTAGCGCTACTTAGCGGGGGGGAAACTAGCGAACCACATCTCAAAAAAAAAATAAAAAATAGCGAACCGACAAGGCAAACCTGATATCAGAAACAGATAAATAGTTACGCAGAGAGATCGTGAATGAGAATGGCTTGTTATCTATATTTCTCACACGAGGGATCAAAGTCAGTTTGCCAGCACTGAGAGAGATACGTAGCCGCACCTCAAACCTGCGAAACAAGATTAGGGTTACCTTTGTAGATTTTGATAAAATTGTTGAATTGGAGGAGATGTGTATTACTATAGGCTAATAGACATGTAAGACCATGCATTCTCCCCACCTATGCGGCCAAGTTTTCAGATCCTCTTCTGTGGATTTCAAGATGAGATCCACGGTTGACTGACTGTTTGCTGCAGGTAGAGGAGAAGGAGAATCATCCAATGACCACACTCTGTTTCTTGCAAAACCATGTCGCTCTAAAGAACCAAAACTTCCAAACTACAATAGATATTTACAGTTAAGATGCAGAACTGAACAAGGAAGAACCCTAAAATTGCTAGTTCAGTTAGTGGGCCAACCTGTGGGAAGCTGATAGGTATTCCGCCTCTGATGGCTTTAGGAGGTTTCCAGAGGGTCTGTAAGACAGTGCAAGAACCCTCAGTCAGGACAATGATAAGACAAGAGGGCTACAGAAGAATCTAGCAGCCAAGGTAAATGATTGAACAATGTTCTATAGTAATATCCTCAGTGTGAGGTGTATCTTCAAACATACAAGCAGATCAAGTTATGTGAGAGATCTAGGCAATTTTACATATTTGAAACCTGAAGAAGTTTCCTTACACCACAATCAGATTTATGTTACCCGAGCAAATGGACTATACTCAACATTCCATGCTTTGCTGATTTTGAACTAAACTCAACATTCCTTGAGAGATTTGACATATCTTAGATAATTGAATAGCATTTCACCCCGCAACGGCTCACAAGAGGATAGAATTTGTGGACTGTACAAAAGAACTAGACAATTTTCTTTTGACAAGGTAAAGTTTACAAAAGAGCAAGACATATTTTATCTTGAGACGTTGGACACCTGCTCAGTGATGCACATCATCGAGAAAACACTAATCAGCCCTTCTAACCTGCGAATCCTAGTAGAAGGTGTCGCAAAATTGCATAAAGGAAAAGCCCTCTCATAATATTTGTAGCCCGTTAGATGTGAGTCCTACTTGATATGCTGTCAAAGTGAATCTCATGATTTAGGAACTAAATCAAATATTGCTTATCATACTGCACAATGCTGGAGAGGACAGTGCAATTAGTTGGTTCCAGAAGTATGGTAGACCAAGTGAAGACACAAGTGACAAAAGCAATTCAATCTTTACTAAATGTAACCACCTATGAGATGCTAAGGATGGAAAAAGAACAATGCTAGCGTCACCTTGTGCCATTTCATAGATTTCTCCAAGGGGAAAGCACTTTTCAATTTTGCTTTTTAGACTCCGATATATATTGTGATCCTAAATCCAAACTTTTTTTTTTTTGATTGATAAATTGATCTTAATTCAAATTTGGTGCCCCATATCTTCAAATATGGAGTCAAGACTGGAGAGGATCCAGGTGAAGATGCAAATCCTTTTTTTTAATGCACATGTCCAAAATTGTGAACTTCCAGACGAGACAACTATCCACGTCATGTTCACAAAGTTGCAAGACGAACAGGATTATGAATGGGCTGTTGCATTGACACGTTAAAGTTGATAGCATTTAGTTGCAAAAGCTTTGTGCCTGCATGCATGTCATGCAACATATTGCTATCCAAACAGTAGCAAAAAACATAGTCCGCTACTTAAGTATATACAGGAAGGTCAACATATTGCTATCCAAACAGTAGCAAAAAACATAGTCAGCTACTTAAGTATATAGAGGAAGGTCATTTAGACCTTATTAATCCTGAATAGCAGTTCTTCTCTTCGTTCATTCTTCCAAGAAACAACCTGTCCACCTTGAAAAAGCACCTGCAGCAGAGAATATGTACTAGAATTATGTGAAATGAAGGAAAAGATATTTCCAACCCACAAAACTCACCATCATTGTAGTGCTACAACATTTACTTCATGCATTTGGATCTCTCCGTTCAGGGGTTAATAGAGGATCCTCCGTTTTCCAATTTAAAAAGATAGCACATCATCTCTAAGTTAAATGGACAGCGGAGAGCTTTTCATTGGTACAATGGAGAGCCCAGGTAATCACCACCTCGTTTGTTTTCTCAGAAGCATTGAACTACGTAGTTTGACTACAAAACAGCTACTTTCTAAAGACTAAAGTTCAAGGCAAGACCATATATAAGAAAGACTAAACCATTAGCAAGACAACAAAAAAAAAATCAACAGGAATTGAAAGTTTAGAAGTCGAAACGATCGTTTAGATAAAAATGAATTGGACAGGAAAAAGGAAAAGAAAAGCTGAGGAAAGTATTTCCTTTCTGATTTGTTATCTCCCGTTAACTATTTCAACTTCTCACAAGCAAGGCACTGCGCTTATACAGAGTAGCTTCAACAAAAAGAGTCCACCTCTTAAATTAATTGTTCCATTTGATATTCTCAATCAACAGGTTGCTTGCTATCCAAACTAAGTAGTTTCGAGAACTTCTGGAAAATGTTCGAGATAGGAAAAATAAAGCCATAATTCATCAATGAGGTGATATTTAGTTTTGAAAGGCAAGCAAGCAAAAAAAAAATTAATCTCACTTAGATGAAGATGGGATTTAGGATTACTGATTTATGGAGAAACCAAAACACTTTCACCAATAGGCTTCAACTAAAGGTAAATCTTGAGATATTAAACCTAATATAATCCACAAAATGATCAATATTTTTTTTGATTAAGGTGGTATTCGGGCTAGCTCGACTGCTCCACCGGCTATCTGTTACTCCCACCAGCACACATATTGGGTAACTTTGCCAATCAAAACTTAGGTAGATTGGAAGAAATCACCTAGTACTTCTTGACTCGGGATTCCGAGACCTTACGATTTTCCTTCCACTTCAACCAATAAGCCACGTCCAAAGTATCAAACTAAAGGAAAAATTGTAGCACTCATTAAACTTTAAAAATGTAAAAATCGGAGCACCTCAGGAACTAAAACAAGCATGTACAAAAAACCGGAAAAAAAAAAAGAAGAGAACTTAATCACAATTATGCAGCACAAATAGTCGTAATTTTAGGAGAACACATTTAAAATCCTTCGTAAGCTAAATATAAAGCAAAATTTATCACAATTATCCAGCACGAATAGTACGAATAGACTTAAAAAAAGAAAATAGAAATTTAAAAAACCTCAGCAGTTGATCCAGTATGCTCCGACAATACGATTCGCGAAGGCGATCCATCGGCGTCGTGAATTATGTTCGACGACATAGTTTTATTTTTCTTCTTCGAATACTGATCAAAATCTACAAGCAAACAGTTTATAATAATTATAAGCACAATCAGAAAGGACGAAACAGAAGAAGACAAAAGATACAGAAAAAGGAAGAAATGAGAAAAATAAACCTGAAAACGCAAAGTGTGATGCGATAAGTAAAGAATATTGTGAATAATTGGCTGGCAGAAACTGAGCCGCTAAAACAGAAAGGATGAATTATATTAATAGGAAATCAAAAGATTAAACTTACATATTTTTTTGGAACGAATTTTGTGTTGTTTATTGTGTAGAACAGGCCACCAACTTCTGCTTCATGAGAAATCCATGTCGTACATTAGCGTTTTCTCTACGACTTTGTATTTTTATAGAGTAATAAATTGACCGAGAAAGAGAAAGACGGGGGGAGGGGGAAGTGGGGGTGGGTGTGGACGCGCAGTGGGCGACGGGAGGGACCAAATAAATTCTGATTCTGAGATGTCTCTAATTTTAATTTGTTTTTACTGTTTAGAAAATAGGAGGAATTGAGGGTTGTCGAATTTAATATTCGATAATATAGTTTATTATGGTCGTGCATTTTGTGGGACTTGGTTGGTATACAAGGTTCATGGATTTTTTTATTTTTTTAAATTTTGAACCAAGTTAAAAGGAGGATTCCCTCTAAATTGCTTTAATTTTTGGAAGCAAAAAGGAGGTCTATTTTGGAACAATTTTTAAAAGGTAGAATATTATGTACATATTTACAAATAAGTTTGATAAAAGCTACAAATTCTATAAATAAGATATCAAAAAGACATATTTGAAGAAAAGTAGGAAAAATGTAGTATCTCTATAAATTAGATACAAATTACCTTATTCAATGATTACATAACAACGAACTTAAACTACAATGTGAAGAGTAACAATCAAACAGAAAACATTTAAATGGTACAAATAGTAACCGGTAAAGTTGTTGTCGTGTGATCAGGGAGTCACGGGTTCGAACCGTGAAAACAGTCTCTTACAGAAATGCAGGGTAAGATTGCGTATAATAGATCTTTATGGTCCAGCCCTTTCCCGAATCTCACACATAGCGAGAGCTTAATGCCCAAGGTTGCATATAATAGATCACCATGATCTAAACATCGCGCATAGCGAGAGCTTAGTGCATTTTGCTGCTTTTCTTAAAATAAAAAAAAATAATGTGTAATATGAAACTGAATAAGTAGTTTACAATAAAGATAAACTATTGTAGAGATTATTAAGGAAGCATATTAATTTCAAATATGTAGACTGATGTTCTATTATTCGAGAGATCATATAGTACTTCATCTCACTAGGAGGATATGTAGCATTTTGATTACGAGTTCATTTGAACTCATAACTTTGGACACGAAGTATAAATATGTTTGTAAAAAATTATTAAAATTTCAATAAATATTAGATTTGAATCCATAATTTTAACAGTATAATTAATCCAATGCAAAATTAAATTTCATTAAATTTCAATCTTTGATCCACTTCTGCATTATAACATCTCTAGTACTAGAAAATTGATTTACAAGATCATAAAAAAATGATTTAATATAATAACAAGAGAAGATGAGCAGCAACATTCTTATCACTAACTTGAAAATGGGATAAATTTTGAAACGTCCAACTCATGGCAAATGCCAATCATGATTCTATAACCAATAAATGAAGGTACATATTTAAATATTGAAGACACTTACAATTCATGCCTTGTGTAATCTATGACTCACATTTAACAACATATATGTATTGATATGTGTCTCATCAAATCAAAATAGCAGTACAAATTACTATAGAAAAACACCAAATTTGTGTCACGTCATGCCAAAACAGCAAAACTGTAGTAGCAAATCATATAAAGCAAGAGACAATAACACTTAATAGAAGTTAACTATTTTAGAGGGCGTGGAGAAAGAAATCTACAGAGAAGGAAGAGCATATTTTATGTTTAATATTAAATGTAAATGCAGCATCATCATGCTTGAAATTTTAAATTTCATATTAGTATTAAGTTGTTTATAATTTATTGGTAATTGTCATAAATATTGTAACTTGTTCAAGGTGGCAATAGGATTGTTTTCTGATATTTCTTTTGAAAAATAGGGAAAATAAGAAAAATTAGTTTTAGCTATTAGAAAACCTTTTAATCACTTTTCAAATGAAATAAGATACTAGTAGATTGTTACGTGGTACTTGTGCTGGGTGAAGGTAGTAGGCACCCAATAGAATTAGTCGAGATGCGTGTAAATTTGTGAATACTATCATTAAAAAATAATTTTAAAAAAAAGATATTACTCCCTCTGTTCCAATTTATGTGAATTTGATTGACTGGGCACAAAGTTTAAGAAAAAATGAAGATTTTTTAAATTTGTGGTCTTAAACAAGTCAAAAAGGGACTCAAAGTATTTGTGTGGTTATAAAAGCTTCTCATTAAGGCTAGAATTGTAAGTTTAAACTAAATTGTTATCAAATTTAAAAATGGATAATTTTTTTGAAACGGACCAAAAAGGAAATAAGTTCTCTGAGAAAGTAGTAGGTTTTAGCTTTCAAAGAAGATTTCAAATGTATACGCCAATTAAAAAAAAATGTAAACACCAATAGATGCATCAGAGTAATTGGCCAAAAGGTCCATAGGATTCAAGTAGAGTACATTTGTACCAAAAGGTCCTGCTATAGACAGGCTTCTCAAGTTTCTGCTATTTTGCTTTCTAAGTTTTGGCTTTTATTTAAATTACAAAACCAATGCATTTCCAATTTGTCCTGACATTTATTTTTTGTCAAGACATTTCATCATTATATAAACAGAATCAATCAACTACCACACGAAGAAGACACTAGTTAAATTTGTTTGGTGCCACAATTCCATTACTACTTTAAAGAGGAATAACGTATGCGTAAATCCAGATATTAATTAAATAGTTTCATTTCAGATCTTTTGAACTTGGTAAACGATTTAACTAGGTAATTCAATTATATACCAGTCCATGTGGCGGCTCAACACTACATGTAACCTAAACTCAAAATTTAAAAAGAAGCCTTAACATTCAAGGTTAAAAAAATACTTTTTCGTATATAATCCTTGGATAATTTCATTAGCTTGAGACTGAAATTTTGTTTAAAAAGCACGTAAAGAATACAAGAAGATTCTACAAAATCATAATTATAAACAAAATTAATTCAAGTTGAAGTGAGTTAGATAAATTAAGAAGTCAGAGTCTACCCACCAGGGGTGAGGTAACAAAAAAAAAATAGGAAGTAACTGTAGATTTAATAGTCTAAATTTCAACTATAATTACATCATTCATATTTCTAAAAGGTAGTATAAACTTTATAAATTGATAAATAATTATTGGTTAAAAATTGACAATAAATGATTAAAAATAATTCATTTATCACTAATAATAAATACATAATTATTCATATTATATATAATTTGAGTAAATTTGGGGCATTAATTTTTTGGGGCCTAAAGCCACTACTTTAATGGCTTTGGAATTAAGCCGCCACTGGTCCATGTAGTACTTAAAATGCTCAGTACATATTTGAATAAATGATTACGGGACAATACCCACTTGCAGAAAGTTATATAAAGTTCGTGAATCAAAAAATTAATAATAACAAATTACATATAAGATAAAACAGATTAATCATTGAGTAATATAAGATTATCTTGTTGTCTGTGATAATTTTGTTAGGGCTTTGTGTCCTGATTTTTTTATCATAATTGGGTTTTACTTTTCTCCTACAGAAAAGCAAAAGTGTTACCATAATTAATTTTACTTTTCCTATAAAAAAAATATAAATCTCTTCCATATTTAATAGATTCCTTTCTTGGAGAAAAAGTTATGGCCTTTATAAGTTGAGGATCCATCCTTCATAAACAACAACATATCATCCACAGTGTAGTCCTTAAGAGTTTTGTTTAGGTGAAGAATTTATTCTTTCATCCGGTTTTTTTCTTCTATATTAGTAAATTGATGTAGGTCACTTGACAAAATATGTCTCTTTTTTATATCTTTTGTGGCACCTGATTTATTGTCACCAAGGTTTGCATTATTAGCTTCTGTATGACGCCTTGTTATTTTCGATCCCAACAAATTGAACCCATAAAATCTTTGTAATTATAAACAAAATACCTTGACAAATAGTTTAGTGGTTTAAAACATGGAACACACCATATGTTGTATACAATTATACATACTATTCACATACTAGTTGATAAGAGATTGTCTGACTGTCTCCCCTTTTGGCGATTAATTAGTTTGTCTTAACATTAGTGTCATTTACACTTTGCCTTTGAAAAGATTTCCCTTTTACTCACCCACTCCCTAGCTCTGCACAAACAAACACGTTTTTTTTTTCTTGATAAAGATAAGTCGCTCGACACCTCAATATCGACTCATCATTTTTTGCTTTTCGGTTATAGAGTCGAGTTTGATTTTCCACTCTGTTCAATTAGTCAAGTTGAATTTGGGCCAAACTCTTTATGTTCAAATCAACTAGGTTATAACTCGAAAAATCAAAAGATGATCCAGACAGATGTTTGGTTGGTGAGAATCCTCATTTGCATCTAATTGAGATGTAAAAGAAATATTAACACTTTAATGGTCCGAATCAATGAGACTGACAGACCAAAGAACAA